ATGCATCACCACAGCAGTAACTCATCGGTTGAATTTCAAGAGCATAGCAGGGCACTGAGCCACATTTCAGAAAATAAAACTTCAAGAATTCTTTGGCAGACCACTAAATTGTAAACAACCTGTACAGAACCAATATACTCTCTGAACACCACTGCTTTAAGGGCGTTCCTCTCTGAGGAGATCTGAATGATTCTTAGGAGAAAAGTTGCTGTAAGGATATATCCAGCATAATGCATGTTCTCAGAATGTAGACACTGTGTCTTTAATATTGCTTGTGCACTAAGAGCATATGGAAATAAATTTCTATTTCAAGACTAATTTGCAAAAAAAGAGCTGCACAATGCATAGAATGAGCAAATTATAATGAAAATTAGGTCCAAGTTTTCAAATAAAAATTCCACTTGTTCGACAATCTAGGAGGCCCATAACTACCATTTCACATGTGAAGGCAATATGGAGGAAATGCCAAGAAGTCCAGCAGGTCCCAGCCAGCATACAGCCCTATCAAAACACAGAAAGAGAAGACAATCACTGCACAGAGACTCTTTGCACTACTGCATGATGGTCCTCTGCTTAGCATTCAAAGTCACATTTGTCAAGACAAATGCTACACGGTCTTGCACATCTCAATCTCACACATTTGAGTAGTGGCAACTTCTGCAAGTGGTGGTGCGTGCCAAAGACGGGAATCCACAACATGCCAGTTCTCAACTAATTTACTAATTTGTAATGACAAATTGGTTGATAAGGACTGCCATGCAGAAAAGTCTAAGCTTCAGCAATAATACTTCAACAGCAGTAAGTACATATTGTGAAACAGCCCTATGTCAGAATTAGTACAGTCAGATTTTCTTCAAGCTGATATTGATTGAGTGCAAGTATGGGAGTCTGCTGAAAATTATTCAAACTCATGAAGATTTTATTAACAAAAGCATACAGATACACATCACAAAAATACTGGATACATAGGTTCTATTGCAAAATCCAAAAGGATCTCAATTTGGTCTCAGAAACTTCAAACATCACCTGGGAAGAAGCCTTACACTTTATGCAATTCAAATATGACTGTCTCACCTAATGTCTACAGTCACAGAATCCTAGGGGTTGGAAGAGACCTCTAAAGATTGTGTCCAACCCCCCTGCAAAAGCAGGATTCCTACAGCAGACTGCACAGGTATACCTCCAGGGGAGACTCCACAGCCTCTCTGGTTAGCCCGTTCCAGTGCTCCACCACCCTCCATCTTTCACATGTTGGCACAGGACTTCCTATGCTCCAGTTAACAGCCATTTCCCCTGTCCACTCCAGGTAAGGCCTCACCATGGCAGAGCAGAGGGGGAGGATCACCTCTCTTGATGTGCTGGCCATGCTTCTTTTAATGCACCCCAGGATTCCATTGGTACTCTTGGCCACAAGGGCATACTGCTGCCTCATGGCCAACCTTTGGTCCACTAGGAGCCCCAGGTCCTCCGCAGAGCTCCTCTCTAGGTCATGCAACAACCTGTACTGATAATTGCAGTTATTTCTTCCCAGGTGCAGGACTCTACATCTGCTTTTATTAAACCCCATCTGGTTTCTTACTGCCCAGCTCTCCAGCCTATCCAGGTCTTGCTGAATGGCAGCACAGCCATCAGGTGTGTCAGCCACTCCTCCCAGCTCTGTATCATCAGCATACTTGCTGAGAGTGGACACTATCTCCTCACCAAGGTCATTGATGAAGATATTGAACAAGATGAGATCCATCACTGGCCCCCTGGGGAACACTGCTAGTCACAGGTCTGCAGTTGGACTCTGCACCACTGATCACCACCCTTTGAGCTCAGCCAGTTCTCAACCCAGCTCACTGCCCACATATCTATCCCACACTTTCTCAGTGTCACTATCAGGATGATGTGGGCAACAGTATCAAAAGCCTTGCTGACATCAACATAGACAATATCCACAGGTCTCCCCACATCTACCCAGCCAGAGATGCCATCACAGAAGGCTACGAGGTTGGTTGAGCATGATTTCCCCTTGGTGAATCCATGCTGATCCCAATCCATCCTGCTCCTGATAACCTTCTCTTCCAATTGCTTGCAACCAGAACAAGCTGTTCTGTCACTTTCCCAGGAATGGAGGTGAGACTGACTGGCCTGTAGTTTTCCAGATCCTCCTCCTTGCCCTTTCTGTATTGACACGGGCTATCCTCCAGTCTTCAGGTACCTCTTCTTTTCTCTAAGACCTGTCAAAGATGACAGAGAGCAGTTCAGCAATCACCTGTCAGTTCCCTCAGCACACAAAAACATACCCACACTCACAACAGCTCTCCCCTCCCTCAGGACCCAGGGGGAACTCCAGACACCAGAGATCCCCACAGTCAGTCTGGACTGCCCCTTCCCCCCTCAGGATGCCCACAAAGGCTGTCCCCCTTTAGTCTGGGTTGCTGCCTCAGCCCAGCTGCTGTGTCAGGTGCCCACCATGGTAATTATAAGAGGCAGCAGCACATCTTAGAGTTTTCAAAGGAGTAGAGAGGAGGGGAGAGAGAAAAGGGGAAGAGGGGAGAGGACCCCTCCCTGCTCGCCACCCTCACCCCGCCCCGTGAGAACTGCCTGTGCTAACTGCCTGTCTGACAAGCACGCCCTGTTTGCACAGCCTGCTAGTGGCGCTCCTGTGTTGCTGCGCTCCCTAAAAGGAGCTGCTTTTATACAGGCAAAGGGTTGGCTGCCATCACTCCCAGCTCCGCTCCGGCTCAGGCACGGCTCCTGCCTGCCGGGAGGGTTGTGGGGGCTGCCGCGCTGAACAAGCACCGCAGCTTAGGGGGTTGGTTCTGTTCACCTCTCTGCCAAGATCCCTTGTTGCAGTTGATCCACGTGAGATCCTCACTAAAACAGCCATTACCTTGCCATTACTTTTGGGGTAACCCTCATGTTTTCACAGTTCATGTGTAGATTAGCAGGAATGTAATTCTGCAACTGAAAAAAAATTGAAAGAGCTATCTTCAATTTGCAGAAGTATCTGTGAATAAGATTTAAGAACAAGTCATCAATTCATTTACTGCATTTCCAATAATGTCATAGGAGGTATCCAGAATTTCAAGTCCCATCTTATCCTTTTACAGATATTTCGTCTTATATACCTTAATGAATCAGTTTTACAGTGGCTTTATAAAAGAAAAAAATTACCAGAAAAAAAAAAAAAAGAGAAATCTGGGTATACACATTAGCCACTCATTCTATACAGTGTCTCTGTATGTATACAACAAACGAGTAATTAGGGCATCTACATTCCATACAGAGCCATGCAGAGATTCACTAAGTGTCTGTACAGGGGCAGCAGCTGATGCTTACAGCACATTAGCTGCTTAGCACTGCAGTCACACTGAGCACCTCTTGGCAGATATTTTAGTATTGGCTCCAGAGCAGACAACTGGAAACAGCTCAGAACTCTCAATACTCAGTAATGACTGAAGCATGGACGTTTTTCTTAGCAATGCTTTATCCTCCACTACTGAACCATTCAGAAAGTATTGAAACATTTCTAAACAGAAAAATAAAATCCCATCAACACCTATGTGCCAGTAATACTGGAGATTCCAAGAACTGAAGAGCACAGCAAAACATTTATAAACCATACAGTAAAAAAAATATCAAAGACATTCAGAATTAAAGTAGGTCTCAATATGCTGCTGCTAGCTTCACTATATGAAAATCACATACTACTGCTTAATCTCAATTATTTTGCTCCAAAAGAGGAAGGTGATTAGAATATTGGTTTAAGTCTCTCAGGTCAGGCTTGTTTTAAAATATTGTTTTCTTTGAATATTTTTTTTTTCTCAGAAAATGACCACAATAAAAATATCTGTTCTGTTTTTAAATGTTACAGAGAACCAAAAACACCTCCCAGAAGCAGGACTGAGTCCCAGCTATATGTATATCCTACATTACGTACTTATCCAGTAAACAAGCAACACTCGATGGGCAAGTTTCTTTCTCCTTGACTGTTCTACCATGAGGGTGACCAATTCTGGTTGTTACATAAACAAGGGATTAATTTATACCTCTTTTCTATGAAATGTCACACATTTTCTGTGTATGTCACACAAAGACATTAGATAGAAGACTCAAAATGAACTAAGGAACATCTTCATATCTTCAAGCAATTTGCAATTAACATACCACAGGATTTTATGCTCAATTAAATCTACAGATGTTGAAAAAGGGCTACTACATATATGAAGGCTGCTAAACACAGGGAGCTCTCTAAGGCTGAGCCAGGCACTGAACTGCAGCTTTTTCAAGGACAGAAGGATGTCTTGTGAAATGTACACTACAAGTTTGTCTTGTTCGATGTTTCCTAAATAAGCATTTGCTGTTGGCTGCTGTTAGACATAGGATACTGGGCTAGCTGAACTTTGGAACTTCATACAGACAATCTTGTACTCTTACATATTGACCTTACATACTTGTAGTACTTGATTTCAGCATTTCAAATATTCCACAGAGGGGGAAAGACATCCTCACATGCAAGTTATGAAAAGTTCAACCATATTCCATAAAGACAGGAAACATTGCTGTAATGCTTAATTAAAATTGACTTCACTGTGCATCAGCACTTGAACCTGACTCCAGTCAACACTGCACAAGCTGAAGTAATAAGACTAACATTAATTATAACCAGAGCTAAAAGTATGACAAGACAGAGTTTGGAGGTAAAAAAAAAAAAAAGAAATAAAATCCATCACCTGCAGTCTGTACTCCTAGGAATAAGAATGTCCCCTCACATTCTATTAATACTTCAACAAATTTATTTCATCTCTCTGTAACAGTTTCCTAGAATAACATTATCTCCTCTGAGAATTCCGGATTGCAACATAAACATCAGGCAAAATGAACTGACTCATGCTCATTCAGGAAAACTTAACTATGTATCGATGCACATAGACAGCAGTGCAACACTACTAATATGCAAAGTTAAAACAAAGACAAAATTAAAGGCATGAGAAGATAAATCTGCAAATGTAACAGAGGAAAGTTAACAGGTAGAGTTTCTAATTTCTCTTTAAATGACTCTCAGCTTTTACACCAGGCAATTAAGACTTCATTAGGTTTCAGTTTACAGCTGGGGACAGTTGAAAGTGTGAGGCTTAACAGCTGTATCATCCTGGACAGTTAAGTCTCACAGATCACAAGGTTGAGCTTGGCTTCCTTCGGACTTGACCCAGTCACAGCTTCCAAATACTGTGTAGACATCACAGGAGCTGCCATGGTAGTCACTGCCCTAATACACTGCTGCCAAATGGAGAATATCACTGGGGCTACAGTGTATCTTCAGCAAGTTTCTAAGTCACAAAACCCAACAACAGAGGCTGCCTGGTCATCACCCCAAAGACAGAACCCTCCCACAGCAAACGAAAGTCATTTTATTTAACAAACAACTGCAAACTATTTCTTTTGCAAAACTTTCACCCATCCCTTCCCCTCAGCAGCTCCTCCACTGAAAGCCAAAACAAAACTGCAGTGAACCATTCACTCTCAGGATGGCTTCAGCTTTCAACCCTCTGCTTTTTCAAGCAGAACACCAAGATAGAAATCCCTCACTAGCAATCTGAAAGCACTGCACGAGCAAAGAATACTTACGTTTGCCACTGTATTTGTAGTATTTGTGCTCTGTTTCAGCAATTGGTGATTACAAAAGGAGAAAGCTTTTTAGTCTGCCTTTCAAGCCTCGTAGCAGTGAAAGGAAGCCACTGGTTTTCTATATGCTGTACTCTGCTCAATTCCTATGTGCACACAACACAGCTGCCAGATTTAATAACCACGTCAGCCTGCTTTCCCCATAGAGCAGCAGAGAGATGGCAGAATGAAGATATTTCCAGTGTGTTAACCTGTAGCTTTGGCCACATTAAGCCCTGTATGAACATCATTTTACTGCTCTTGAAGAAAAAATAAAATCAGTCAACACCATTTAAAAAAAAAAAAAAAGTGCAAAATGACTTCAGAAATGCAAATCCATACTTGCCTTCAGTGACATTAAAGTAATGACTCTTTCTATCATCAGCTGACTAATCTTAGGACTTAATTCCTTCTCAAAACATCCTGACCTTTAATTACACATTTTGCCAAGCAACACGTGCTTGTATCCAAAAAGAACAGAATCATTAGCTGACAAATCATCCCAGAATACCCCTCTCCAGAAGGAATTATTTCCATACCTGTTTTTGCTGACTTCTTTCAGAAAAGCAGAGTTAATAAAAGGGGGAAATTCTCACCCTTTCAATCCTCCCATGCACAGCGACTCCTAGTGCTCAAAACTTCCTTAACAGATGTGGTCACTTCACTGCCGATGCAGAGCATTTCTGTACCTCCATCTGCACAACCAGCTCTGTAGAAGTGAGAGGCAGACAGAATTAACGTACCAAGAGAAGGTGCCAGTCATACAGTCCAAATCTACAAACTTAACATAAACCCAGAAATGTGTGACTGAATTTGCAACATCGCAGGGATGCTGCAAGATGATATGACAACCACGCACACCTGCCTCTCATTTCTATTCCCTTTACTGCCCCTGGAGGCACCTGTCTCAGCTGGGAGTGGTTTCTGCAGAAACGACAGGCAGTTGGTTTTCACCTCAAAGAAAGTGTTACTGTGTGGGAACTGAGAAGGAAGGAAGGCTTCAGCTGACATTATGACACAGCGCAGCAATCAATACTGCATATTGAAGTGCAGAGGATTTTTCAGCCTATTTATTCTTCCAGCAACAGGGATCTCACTACATCTACTCTGTTTAAAACTGAACTATCAGCCTCAGTGCTGCTTATTACATATTATGAACTGGTGCCACATTAAAACTTGAGGAAGTGCCTGAAAAGAGCTGCACAAGTCAGTGAGGCATGGCATGCAGTGGAGCAAAACCTAAAACAGCAAATTGCTGCCTATACGGCTTTCCTCTCAGCTCGAGGAGACAAACATACCCACAGCCATGGTATGGAGAACAGATCTATAAGATCCTATCTTTTATGAAAGTGGATAGTGATAGGACAAGGAGAAATGGTTTTAAACTAAGACAGATGAGGCCTAGGTTAGATATCAGGAGTTCTTCCGCACAGAGGGTGGTGAAGCACTGGAACAGCCCAAGGAGGCTGTGGACGCCCCATCCCTGCAGGCATTCAAGGCTAGGCTGGATGTGGCTCTGGGCAGCCTGGTCTGGCAGCTGGTGACTCTGCACATAGCAGGGGGCAGAAACTAGATGATTTTTATGGTCCTTTTCAATGCAGGCCATTCTATGATTCTATCTGAGAGATGGAAAATGGGATCCCTGGCACTGGGGCTGTGCAAGCTGAGAAAGGCTTGGCCTTCTAAGCCAGCAGCTGAAGACATGAACTGGTGATCATGTAACAGATAGTGAACACTGTGAAACAGGTAGGGGCTGTGTCTCCTGCCAGCCACACCTGCAGATAGCATCTTTACTGGCAAGAGAAATCACAAGTAAAATGGTTAAGAAATCAGAAATACCTGTTTACTCAAAAAAATCAGTGACTTCAGTTTGAAAAAAAATCACTGGGCAAGTGCTATGCTTTAACACAGCTGGTAGCTAAGCACCACATAGTTGCTGGCTCACTCCCCTCACCTCCCAGGAGGCTGGGTGAGAGAAACAGAAAAAAAAGTAGAACTCATGGGTTGAGACATACCTATCTGCTTAGATAGAGAATAGTAAAAGGATAACAAGTATTTTTATATATGAATGTATATAACAAATTCATAAAAGTGATACACAAAGTAATTGCTCACCACCCCTTAACCTATACCCAGCAAGCCCCTCAAGCAGCAGAAGAGAGCCCAGTTAACTCTTCCCCTTCAGAACTCCTTCCACATGTCATACAATATGGAATATCCCTTTGTCCAGTTTCAGTCAGCTCTCCCAACTCTGTTCCCTCCCAGCTCCTTGGGCCCTTTGATAAGAATGGCCTTGGCTCTGTACAATGCTGCTTTGCAGCAAATGTAAATATCAGTGTGTTATCAACACTGTTTTTCTTCTAGAGCCAAAACATACCAGTGTACCAGATACTCTGAAAAAAAAAAAAAAAAAAAACCAATTCCATCCCAGTTGAAACAAAGACAGGAAAATGAGTACAGCTCTATCCTTGAGGTAGTCTTCCCAGCTCACCACAGAAGCAGCATGAACTTGGATCCATCTTCACTTACCTATGCAAATACTTAATTTGTGATCACTTGCTGCTTTATCAAGCATATATTAAGGTGAAGGGGCATTAGGCATCTCACTACTACCAGCATAATTCCATTAAATTAGCCTAAGCAGGAACATTACACCACTTGCATTTCTTATCCTAAAATGTCTTTAGTTACCTGGGAATATCAAGCTACACAGATTTCTGATTTTTGTAGCAATCAGTACCTGTTGCTCTTTTACTTGTAGCAATCCCACAACAGACAGATCTTTTGACAGGCCAGGCAAAACAGACAGCTGCTTAATGTTGTCTGTGTCCACAGCAGCTATTCCAAAGGCCCTTCCATACCCCTTCGGATCCTTGAAATGCCCCCTCCTGAGATAATCAATACCTAGTATACACGGAGCCCCTGGGCCTGACACAATAGGATGTTTTTGCCAGTCCTTACCAGTGAGGCTTATCTCAGCCTCCAACACAGTCAATTCTTGAGAGCCCCCGGTCACTCCAGAAATACGGATTGATTCTGTCCCTTCATGACTCGAGGGCATCAGAGTGCACTGTGCACCAGTATCCACCAGTGCCTTATGTTTCAGCGGTTCTGATGTGTCAGGCCATCGAATCCACACAGTCCAATATACTCTATTATCCCTTATATATGAACACAATTCCACAACAAGTAATTATGACATTGATTGTTGGCCAGTAGGTTGCCAGTAACACCATTGCTTTTAGTCCTTTGCACAACGCCCCCATGATAAAGAGTGGGCTCATCACTGGTGCCTGCCAAAAAGGGGTTAATGAATTGAAGCTAACAAGAGGAGGGGAAGAAAAAAAAAGAAAAAGGCACTACCCAGACTAAGTAGTGCTCAGTTTACAAATATCCCAGAATACTGGCAGTACGCCTAGTCTTTCAAGGTCAGTTTTTCCAGCACAGAAACCTGAACTACTGATAATGCTCCCTGACAAAGCTCTCTAAGAGCAGAGAGAGAGATTTCATTCTAAAACAAAAAGCAGCTATGCCTGCATTCTCCACCAAAATCTGTCATGGAGTTGACTAGATCAATCTATGCTTGTGACGGGGGGGGCAGTAAGCCTCTGCCTTTCCCCCCCACCCCAGTCCCACAAAATGGGAAGGAAGGAAGGAAGGGAGGAAAAGAACAGCAGCAACAATCTATGGAGGAAAACTTATTTTACTATGATACCGGAATACAAGATAACACAATATAATACAATTTAATTAAAATTGAGATTAATAAATCAGACAAGATGGGAGAGAGAGTTCCCAGGATCAAGTAAAACCTGAAAAGCTTGGAACAGCTAGGAAAGCACCCTTCGGCACCCACTGCAAGGTAGTAAGAGGGCGCCCCCCCACCCGGCAGGGCCAGATCCCGTGACTTCTGTAATGTACAGGGATAGGCCTGGAATTGAGGCATTAACACTTTAATGCCCAGTACACTACATGATGTTTTGATGTGAATATTGAAACCTGAAAAAAAAAAAAAAAAAAACCATGACACTGATCTCACAGATGACTTGGCTGAGATACTGCTAAGAAGTCAGTTAGACTAACAAAAGGCAGGTTTGCAATTACAGCAGGCATCAAGCACACAGATGCAGCTGTAGCTTGTGAATTGTTGTTTCCTTCCAGCAAAGAGTCATCTCAACCCAGGAGTACAAGCTTCACTTGACAGGTCAGGTTGTACAGTGATGGTCTCTCAGAGAATAAGCTCAGAATACATGGAATTCAGCTACTGTGACCTGGATGTTGTTTGGCACATGTCACTGAACATGATAGCTACCTTACAGTTGAGAAAGGCAGACTTACAGTGGCTATTTAAAACAGTATACCAGCAGTATTTATTATACATTTCCCATATCTTTTCTCATGACATTATATCAGCCCTATGAAAAATAACAGTATTACAAATAAAACAATACAAATGGCTTTGCTCAAAGATGGAGAGAAGCATCAGTAGAAATGCTTGTACAAAACTGCATTCCTTACTCCAGATACATCTTTATTTTACATGCCATCTCAATTCATTTCATGCTAGGCTTTTACATAGAAAAGCAACATATAATTCCAGGATATTGACCATTTATCAGATATGCTGCTTTTGATACATGTCTCTTTCCTCCCATAGTCCTCTTACCAAGAAAAGGCCCTTTTCTGTCTACTTGGATTGATGTGATTTGGACAGGGAAAAAAATCTTAGCAGAAAATAAAGGGAGAGACAGATTCACAGAGAAACAGGCAGGGGGTCAGGGTGTCAGTTTCAAACTGCATGACCTGCAGATGCCCTTGTCTAGACTTCTATGCTTCAGTAATTCATAGGGATGGCACTCACAAAAGCCACCACATTATCAGAGAGCTGTCTAACTTTGCTAATGGGGAATACCAAGAAAGAAATCTTGCCATCCATCCATGAACTTGGTATCCTTATCTGGGTTACAAGAAAATACTCTCCCCAGATCAAAATCAAACATACCCATTATCTTGAATTCACTGCCTTCACCTACCTTTCTCACAAAGGATGACTGGGAAAGAGACAGAAGGCAACTTCAGTACTCAAAGATTCAATAATCAACTCCACTAGCAATGGTTCCT